AAACAAAAATATGAAACATCACAAACACAATACCATACTGCATATTATATATTATGTTAAACATTAAAACATTTACGGGAAGAGAAACAAAAATTTCGGAGGGGTAGGAAGGCATTATACATATTGTATGTAAGAGTATGCACACACGCATTGAATGCCAATAATAATTGAACGGCACATACAACGCCATTTTAATCTTTATCTTATGTATAATACACAAATTTTTGGTTACACATCGAGCGCGATCAAATAGTTCATAATAATCATAATATTATAATATCGGGGTCACGAAAAAAAAAAATTGTACACTTCATTATTATTTTCATCAGGAAAGTAAAACAATTTAGGAACATTCTTTTTCAAGGTATTCACATAGAGCACTGCTGTGAAAACCCAAACACCGGAAACGACATTGCGCGGTTTTCGGCGTTGTGTCACATGTAGGTACACAGACGCGAAAAACAACGAAGTTTTTAATAATAATACATAGATAATAATTATGTATCTCATGTTTATTATATGAAAGCAAAAAAAATATATATAATAATAATAATAAAAAAAAATACTTCTCGAGAAAATCTCTACAGTGAATTGGTAATATAAAAACGAATGCGTAACAAATTATCTAAAATAATATTAATTTAAATAATAATAATAAAAAAAAAAAAATTGAAAACAAATAATAAACATAGGATGTTTCTGCCAGACTTCGTAAACTTCTTGTTGAAACTATACCGTTTTTATATAAACATAAATATATGTATTTGTATAATGTATATAATAATAATAATTTGGAAAAGATCAAGAGGGAAGAATCTGAGTCCAGACCGTCTATAAAAAACGCCCTTTTAATATTAGGCCTCATAATATAGTTAATTAATTTGTATAACACTAATCTTCGTTCTACACCAACACTTTTACACTTCTGAATAAAATCCAACATTTTTTTTTTTTATATAATATATAATAATATAATATAAATTATAGGCGTCTAAACACATAGTGGACAGGTGATTATTATTATTTTTTTTATTTTAAGTTTTTGTACTTTGAACTGACGATTTTTTAATACACATAAATAATATTACATATAATCATATCGTACCTATTTTATCAGTTAAAATTTTAATTTTAATATTTAAATTTAATAATCAAATATATATACATATATATGTATATATATTTTATCTTTAAATACCGTACACAATATTATAATAAAACTGTTATATTTAAGTATATATTTATATAATATATTCGTTATGTTACATAATTCACTCACTATAATCTAAACACCCTAATATCTATACACATTTATATATATTAAAAAAAAAAAAATCTAAAATCATATTTTACTACTTTTTGTTTAAAGATATATAAATATTTATATAAACAATAAGATATAATAACGATGCACGTTAACGAATTTGAAGCGAAAACTATGAGAAAAAAAGTTCGCTAAACGAAGAAAAGTCAGATTATTAGACGTTAAAAACGGAATTAAAACGAAAAAAAAATTTATTACAAGGAGTCCGCGTTCTATTTGACAGAATGAGTGCTTGTGGTTTTTTCGATTCATTTTTTTAAGTAAACGACACACGCTGAAAAAGTATAATACAAATTAAACAATCTAATGTTGCAGTCGTGTAATAATTATAGTTATTAATGAGGAGGTAATCAAGAAAGTCACTTGAGAATTTGGGGCTGAAAATAAGTATGTGGTAACCGATTACACGTGTAGTACTCACGTGGGTCACACGACTAGATTGAATCCATCAACGCTGCTCGGACATTTAATTGTCATGAATCAAGTAGGTAATAAATATTCATAATCACTCACAAGTACACGTCAGAAAAATAATGAAAAGATTCATAATTAACTCGTAACTCGTAAGTACATTTTATAATTTTGAACACAATTTTGGATAATATTTTTATCCCGAAATAGTTCCGTTATCGCAAACACTAAGTATTCACGTCCTCCCCAATAATAACCAAATGCGGAATTTAAGACTTCACTACAAACTCTCATATCTTACTATGGCTTTGGACCTAACGCACTAACTTACTTATAAAGAGCGAGTTAAAATAAAATTGTAAGGAAAATAAAAATAATAACCGTGACACCGTCACCAAAAAGTTCTAACTATTGCTATATAAATACACGCACAAGGAAAAAAAATTAACTAAAATAAAAAATGCTAACAAAAAAAGTGCTAAAAATAAAAACAAAATGTGTAATAAAAACTATAAAATAGGTAGTTAGAATTATTTGTTTTAAATAAGTATACTATGTGTATTTTATATTTAATAATTTTTTTTACAATTCCGACTCTGACTAGAATGCAAAACTAAAAATGTTGAGTTTTTTCTTTCGTTCAAAAAACAAAAAATATTTAATTACTAGTAATAAAATGTATGCAAATTTTATCGATATTAAAAATAAAACTACTTATTTTATAAAAGGTATCTGTTGTTCTCTTACTAAATTCCTTAGAAATATTACACAAAACGCAAACCACTCCAAAAAACTCTAAAAATATTATTGAAAAAAAAATTCTCAAGTTATGAAAAAAATTATAAGAAATTTCTTTACGCATACATCATAATAATAATAACTAATAATAAAAAAATGATGATGATGCTGATGATAATAATAGAAATGTACAATTATAATAACTGTACACGGGGGAATGGAGAGGTTAAAATCTAATACTATAGAGATTACATAATATAATATACTATAATATATCGTAATACACGAGGTGAAAATTATGATATTATCAAAAAGTGAGATTTCATCTCTCCTCTAACTTTTTCTTACTCATGTAACACTATCTATACACTAACAAATGCACTGTAACGAGTTAAACAAAATAGTTTTTTTTATTTAATTTTTTTTTCTAATGAACAGGTACAGACAGAGTATGTCGAAAAGAAAAAAAATATACATAGAATAATAACACGGCGACAATCCAAACGCGTCGAACAACCAAAAAAAACTCTCCTAGAAATACGATTTAATTTGTTAAAAATAGTCAAAAAATAGTCAAAATTTTACGCCGATAATACAAAAAATCCACGTAATATTATATATAGATAATATAATATTGCTAATAATATCATTAATGAAGTATTTCCATTTGTACGATCCGTTCCGTTTTTTTTCTCCCTTACTTTTTTTTTTTTTTAAATTTATAAACCTACTCATTTAGACTATATAAATAATCATTAATTAAAAACATAATTTGTTTAATGTTGTACTATTAGTGCATAATAACAAAACATAAAGCATAAAAAATCACGATTCACAATATATGTATACATTAACAATATCAAATAATATAAATAAAGGAAAGAAGTAAATAGAAATCAAAACAACTCAACTTGGGCTATAATGAGTTAAAAAAAAAATTAACTAAAGAGTATTTATTTTCGTGGGATAAATGAAACCCGAGGTAGCTGAGGTAGCTGAGGTATTTTTTAAACAACGATTTGTATTTGTAGTTTTTTTTCTCTATATTAAAACATGTGTCCCCCCCCCCCGAGTTGACCGAAATCGACAAAAAATAAAATAAAAGTAATAATAATAATAAAATGACGATGGCGATGGATTAAAATCAAAAGGAAAAAACCCGTATACTATATATTATTTTTAAATCTGGAAATTTATGTTTTTGTAAATATAATTATTAACACACACGTTAAAAACTGTTCCATTTTTTTTTTTTTGTTGCTTTGTTAATTAACATATAGTACGATTGGTAAACAAAACAAGAGGTAGCGCGTAATTGAGCATCAGAGCAAGAATACATAATAATAATAATAATAATAATAATAAATATAATGTCGTGTGTGACTAACCAGACACGTCACACACGCTTCATACAATAAATACACACGCACAATAAGTCGCACTCACAAAACGATGATGATAATAATAAATCGTTAGGGACGATACGGCCGTGTGCGCGACGTCTACGTAAATATCATACAGATAGGTAAAAAAAATTATCGTATAGGTTTCAGATAGCTCAAACGTGATATTATTATTATATTATCCACATATCGTTAATAATAATTATTTATTACTTTTAATAATTGTACTCTACGTATTTTTATCATTAATTAATTATATAATAATATGTTGTACTGTTGTTCTAAGAATATTAATCATATATAATATAAATAATAATTATAAACTCGCCGAAAGTCGACGAATCGACACCCAGAACAAATTTTAATATCACACACCATCGCAGTAGACGACGCTTCTTCCGCCCGCCGCTACAAAACGTTAGCGAAAAGCCGTGTACGTTTCTACAATTGATATATAAACTACATATTAACAACAATACTACAACTCTAACGATGTAGGAGATCGAGATATAAAATAACTATAAATAGTTTCGCATACGTCGTGTAGAATTTACTATGAGAACCGATATGAAAATTTTAAACTCTTATAACTTTTTTAAATCTTCAACTATACAAATAGAACTAAAAAATGTCATACATACGTACACAAAATGCCGCCAAAATCGAAAAAGTTGATGATGTTCTCTTTGTGGCGGATGGGCCGGCGGGCGAGCGGGCGAGGAAAAGCAGTCGATAGGAGGGTCTCGCTCGAAGTCTCATATAGGTATATAATAATATCATCCCATTACATAATATTATTATTATTGTACAATAAATAATTATTTGGTAATTTTTTTTGTTTTGAATTTTTTTTTTTTTTTTTGAATTTTTTTTAACGGGGACCGCTGTACAAAATATTTTAACAAGAAAAAAATTACATTACGTCTTTTCTTTGAAAACCACTAACACCTAATAATATTTAAAATCTTATAAATAATGATTATTTCAATGTTTTTTTTCAATTAAAAAAAAACCACAAACGTAATAATATTAATAATAATAATAATAATAATAATAATAATAATTAAACAACTACGAACAAATAATAATAATAATAATAATAATAATAATAATAATAATAAAGAACACCTTTGTATTTTTTTTGTTTTTTTTTTTTGTTTTTTGAAAAGATGAAAAAGCCTATTCGGTTTTCTACACACTCAACCGCATTAAAGTAGTTTAAACCAAACCCAAGTGATTAATGGCTGCCATGATATCGTTGACTTTGTTGTCCCATATGGAATGGAGCAGCTTTTCGATGGCTACCGAAGTGTAATCGGGCGGCGCGTTTTGTTGCTGTTGTTGCAACTGTTGCAGTTGCTGATGGTTTTGAAGCTGTTGAAGTACAGTCGGCGGGGCGACAGCGACAGATGAAGAGGAGCAAGAAGATACTGCTGATGCAGCGACGGTGGTAGCTGCCGGTTGGCGGCCACCGGTTCCGACCATTGTGGTCGGAACCGTGGCCGTATGTTATGGCCACTGCCGGGTGTAGTATACCGCGAGCGGTTTTACGAAGTGATAGTCGACGGAAGTGCAATGCGGACAGGTGACTTTTCGGCTATAATCGCTATAGAAGTTTAGGCGTTGGTGCGACAACATCAATGCTTTCTGACAGCCGTTGCACTGTGCAAACAATAAGAACAAAAACATAAACTTAAAAAACAAATACTTAGATGTCAATACACGCAAAGTGGTGGGGCAGGCCTTTGAAGTGTTTCTTTGACTATATTTTTCACATATCTATATACTCGTCGAAACATTGTTAAGCTCACGCAATTGGATTTTAGAAAGCAATTTTAATTTATTATTTAAGCCCCGTTAAAAGGTAAAAGTATCGTGATAGGTTAACGCGTACGTTTAATGTAATCACACTTCTGGGAAAAGGTAGTGGCGGAGACGTGCGCAAATTATTTTTCAACTTCAAAGGCCGTATTAAAATCCGTTCTACATCGTACATAGACGCGCTTGTGCAGCGTAATTTTGGTGACGCAAATTAATTAGCTGAACGACGACACGGCGAGGGAATTATGAAAGTCTGCTAAATACTGCATAATTACTTTCACTAGGCGCGGCAGCCAATCCAGCATTTACCCCTTTAACTAACCAACTCACCCATTAAAAACCCTCCTGTCGAAGAAGGGTGCTATCTGCAAGAGATCGTTCGCCCGAATTATAGTCGTTTTACAATATTATACCTACTAACTATTGTCGAGCGGTTGATAACAAATTAAAAATAGAAATAAATTCGCGATAATCATTTCAAAAACATAAAATATTTTCTGGTTTTGATAAATTTTAACTACATAAAATGATCATTATACACACCTTGAGTCGTTCGTTGCAACATGGCATAGCTGCGAATACGTCGTACGCGTACATGGTGCCCATAATGAGCGATGATCCGTCCCACTGGGTGGCGCAGAATCGGCAACATAACTTCCGATCAGCGTCTTTGCCATCCAGACATTTCATGCAAACAGCGTTTAGGAACAGAGCCCGTCCCTCGTTTTTCACCTGTGAACACAATACAAAAAAAACGTAAGGGCGTGAGACGAGCGTTAAAGATCAAAAATAAAAAAATAATAAAAATCCAAATTTATGAGTGGCATAAAAACATTTTGCTAAAAAGTCTTAAACTCATTGAACCACCCCATACTAAAGTATTATATAACAGCGACAGTCTGTCGAAAAAACTACCCCTGCGGCGTAGCCTCTGCAATATAATAATAAACACCCTTTTCACGCACCACCGCCGCCGACGTTAGTTCTTTATAATAATGATTTCTGAGATCGCTCGATTATTTCTGTACACGATTTTTCTCCGTCTCCCGAGTGAACTTTTTCTTTTGAGCGTGTGTGTTAAGCAATACGCACACCGCACAGTATTCAGCCGCGGGCGAAATCATTAAAAACGTACCGATGGTGGAAGGTAAGCACGACGGTAGCGTGGCGGAGAGACAAAAACCGGATGATTTCCTAAGGTTGTTTTCCTAAGAAACGTACGGCGGCACGCACTATGAAGCGGAAACATTGCGACGTTTAATGGAAAATTCGAAATCGAAATGTTCGGAGTGAATGAAGAAAAAAACTGTACCACCGCCGACCCTTTAACGAAAACCCATCGCGGCAGTAGTATGTGTGTGCAGGAGTTCGCAACAAGAGAAGGTCCATTAGACAAATAACGAAAGCGATTTTCAATGTTTAAAGGAAAAACGAGATTCGGTCTTCAGTGTAATTACGCGATGACCAGGAATATAACAAACACATACACACATACATACATACATACACACAAAATCAGCTCAGAGTATAACGTGGACGCGCGTACTGCAATAAGTTTATCTTTTAACTATACTACCTACATATAATATACAACGTGATTCAAAATTTAATATAAAAAAATATCCAGAAGTCGTACATATGATCTAACGTCTGTCGAAAAACAGATGAACGACAATCAAATTTAATATGCGTAAAAAAATAGTAAACGAGCGTATATCATTATGTGATTCGTTTATTTATTGTTTTAATTGATATCAATAATTAGGAATAAAATATTATTTTTACGTAATCATCTCAGTAAAATTCTGTAAAATACCATGCAAAATCGTATACTCATAAAGAGCAGCTTAAAGAAGATATAAACTGAAAGACGATCTGGTATTAACATCATTACGGAACTACCGTTTTCGGGCAAACTAGCACTATTAAAAAAATTCCATCGAAAATCATTTTGTCTGGCAATCTATATATATCTCTCTCTTCTGCTTTTCTATCCGAGTTGTCGTCGATAATTGATATTAACGAGGTGTACGCGTCCAAAATACGAAAATAATTGTTTGCGTTAACCACGTGCATTGGCAAACGTAATCGACAAAAACGTGCCGTGTAACAACGCGTGGTCGACTAAATGGATACGAAAATAAAATGACAACGTTGCGACGGCGGCACGAGGCGGAGTATAAGAATGTTCATTTCGAAATCGAAATCCGACCGAAGTAGCAGAGTGTGCAAACAACACTAACTAAACTTCAAGGGGAGGGGGTAGGTTTTAATTATAAACCTGGTAGATGTTTGTCTTTTTATCTCGTGTTTACTCGTGTGGCAGCCACAGAACACCTGCACACAAACACACGCACGCGTATAAAAACCAACGAATAGGTCCCCACGCCGCTGACGATGTAGTATATATTATATAGGGAGAATGACGTCTTCATTGTGCTCTCTGCTGTTTCACTTAATCACTCTCTTCGCCAACGTCTCTCGGTAAACACACCGAAAAAGACGTCCCGAAAAATGCCGAAAATCGTAAACTTATAAATGCACATATTTATGCAACAACGGTTTTTGATACTATGTACGTAGAGACGAACTTTTTAATTGGAACGCGTGGGTTCGTCTTCCTAGCAGATGATCAGCGCCCCTTTACTGAAATGAAATGGATACACCGACCACCATCACCACCACTTACCACCACCAATGGCGAAAACAAAGGTCGTCGTTGGCGATGATGATGATGATGATGTCTCGTTATTTGCATTTAAAAAAAGCCAACCGGAGCGTAATTAATTAGCAAAGCGAGCGGCTTAAAAAGAAACAGCCCTCGGAGTAAAAACTTGTTTGCTCAACATACACCACTCTATACGGCCGGGCACAAAGTCGAGATCACTGCTCGTAATCCAAAGAAGGGTAAAAAAATAATATTTTTGAACGCTCGTGTGCATCAGGAAACTGATAAACATTTACTTTATCCAACCAGAGTTTTCAGTAATAAAAAATATATCTAAGCTAAAGATAACTTTATATTAGTGTAGCAGCCTTGTAGAAACTTCAAGAATAAGTGACGAATTACCATTGTAATATATAATACGATGCATCATCGAACACATATTGTCCTACGAGCTTAAAATATATTTGTGCGAGTAACCGAGAATATAATAATATATTATGTTGTTTTATGGCTTTTAGGGATTTGTTTGCGCTGAACCGAACGAAAACAAGACACGGGAAGATTATCCCTGTGTGCGGAAACGGTAGCTTTTTACTCGTAACATTTTTTCGAAGGCCGCGTTTGTGTTTACCATCGTCCGAAGAGAGAAAATAGTAAACGTATGGGGTCAAACGTCTGAGCCACTTCACTTCCCACCCATTCAACGAGGGATTTATCGTAGTGAAAAGACCGCCGACGACTTAGGGCGGAATCGGACAACATATGAATCGAAACCGTTGTGCACGCGCGTGAAATATGCTTTGACAAATATTAGCTCGTTGCGCCTCACGCCCATGTGTGTGTGGTGTGTGTCAACATTCACACAGCACGCACAAAAAAGGTCCTTTTTTACGGTCAAACGATCACGCTTACACACACACACACACACACACACGTTTATAAGTCTTATTTCTATCGGTCTTTTGGATAAAATACACAAAAGTACGGGTATATTTTACCATTGGGACATTTTTCAAGATTCCGCGAGTATAAGACCAGCTGTATCAACGAGGGTAAGAAATACATAAGGATAAGAGTCCTCCCGAAAGTTTTTGACAAAATATAAAAAATATTTTACATGATTGACGTTACAATCAAGAGCAGACTCCCGGCAAAAACAGATTGTTTTACTGTAAGTGATGCGCGGAATTGACGACACATATGGGCGTTCTTAGAATTTGAAAATACAAAGCACTGATAATTTTACTATGAGTTATATTTACCTCGACAGCGTTTTTGTTGTATTGCTTGGGGCTGAGGAAAAATGTACCATCCACCAGCGGATAACGGTCGAACACCAACATGACGTCTGAGCACAGGACGCAGTTGACTCGCGATTGGTTTTGAGCGGCCAACGACGACAAAATGAACGATCTAGTCTCATCGTTTCCGTGGTTGCCCTCGTCTTCAATCTGTCAAGTATTAAAAATCACAAAGTTAATGCTTTCCTATATATATATATGTAATATACGCGTTATATACACTCTGTGTGCGCTTTTGTTGCGGAAAGTTTGACCAAAAGAAAAAAAAGTCATTACACCGATCTTATCAACCCGCACACTACTGTGCTGTACTATAATATACCTTTTATACGTTAATCAAAATTGGTTTGGATTTCAATCAAGATGGATTGCACTCGTTCGAACGCGACTTTATTTCTGTTTCCTTTTATTGTACACGGTGAGCGCGTCTGCCCCGGCAGAAAACGGCGGACAGCAGCAACAATGCAATGCGCGTCGTCTCGACATACCATTGTGAAAAACTTTTCGCCGTGCGTTAACGTAGAGTTTTTTGATTAAACCGATTACTTTTACCTCTGACCCGCCACACGTCCACCGCCGCTACGAAGCGGCCTGCCGAATCAAATAAAAGCAGTCCATTACTCTTTACCGATTTTTTTTTTTTTTTTTATATATATTCCCTCTCCAGACGAGATTTTCCACCAAAGTATATTTGTTCAGGACCTGACCCGCAACAATACGGTGACGTGCGGCGCGCAATTAGTAGGCCAGTTAATGGACTCGGCCAGGGAGAGGGCGCGAGAGAGCAGTGCGTATAAACTATAAATGGAAAAATAGATTGCCAGTGGCAGACCTATTATTGCACACTCGCACACGCGACATACCTATACATATATATATGTGTGTGTGTGTAAGTGTAAACGGAGGGTTTACATGGATCGCTTTTAGACATTTTCCCGCGCGGCAGCGAGGAGTTTATATATATATCAAAACTTTTATATACACTTTCGAATTAAAAAGCTTTCGTTACGTCACTATATGTGTATTGAGAACGCAGATGAACGCAGACAATAATATATATAATATAATTGAAACGTCCATCGAAACACGATAAAAGATATTAAACTTTAGAAACCGTAATATTTACTCTTTTATCGTATGTATTTGTGTGCAAATATATATGTATTTATATATTGTGGTTCATACGGTTGTATTTATTAGATTAACAGGAAATACACCAATCTTATATAACGAGACAACGTTGAAAATTAAGAAACGCGAAAAAGTTATTTTTTAGTATAGTCGGTTACGGATGAAATAAACGAGGTATAGGTTTATATAGTATATATAGATCTACCGTAAAAAAACGTTTTTTTAAATAACATCACAATATTGCCGTAAGTGGTGTTTTGCCTCTTGGTAATCGTTGCCAATTACCACGAGCGTAGGCTTGACGTTTATTTTTTTGCCTCATATGTATAATGTACAGAACGGAGTCGAAAAGAAAAACGCTTTTAACGCATGAAAAAGGAAGAAAACGATATTACTCCGAGACGACGTCGTCGTTCTCAATATTAAACTCCAGAATTTTTTTTATTTTACAACCGTCGTAATATATATAGAGATATGAGCAAATATGGGGTGTGAGCGCGAGTGTGTGTACCGGCGGTCCAATTTCATAACTGCGGGCGAGGAGCATACACGACGAAGTGAAAACGAGTGCAACTCTTTAAAAGACGTTAATAAACAACGCCTAGCGTCGTCGTTTCTTGCACCCGGAGACCCATAAACATGAGTTTCAAACGCCACTCCCCCGGTATTCGAGTTATTATTTTCCAAGAAGTCTTCTTCATCTCCCGCATGCTGATCTTGTATAATATTCTCTCAGTTCTATTATTATCAACTCCGCGGCGGCTGTACTCTACCTGTTCGCATATATAACACCAGTGGGAATACACAATTTTTCAGATATTGGATTAACAACACTATATGTATATATACCCACCCCTTAATACACACGCGGTACCACCGCACTGCAACTCACAACAAAAACGATAGACAAAAAAATGTGTACCACCACGCCATACGTACATTTGACTTATATGTACGCGCCGGAGTCGCGTGTAAGCAATAAACACAATTCATATAAAAATGTGAAAACCTGATCGCAAATCGACCGAAAACGCGCGCACTGCAATGAACACAAAAACGACTTCGGCGATTAATACTCAAACGCATACTACTCCGCCGCCACCGCCTTGGTGGTTTAACGAACGTGTATTGTCACTTCGGTAATGGTATTCACAATACACCGAAATCGAGAGGAAATGGCACAAAACATGCGAAATACCTCGGGAGCAATTGTCTGCTGGGAGAAAAAAAATAACCGTTTTTTCATTTATATATATATATATATATTTTATCGTAGAGTCTGCTTAGTATGGTTAAGGGATGATAGGTGTCGCGTAGTGATCCGCTGTGCGCGTGACCACACACGAGTGAGCGGCGAACGATCGTCGGCTGGTTTGTTTTCGATGAATAAAAGAATGGCGAAAGTTAATTAAAACGCTATACACTAAAAGGGAATTAAACCCTTTCACATCCCCCCTCCTCTCTGACTATCGAAACCACTCGAAACTTGTATATAGAATATACATAACACTCATCTCCAATTTAAATTCGTATATTGTGTATATACATACGGATGATATCGCACATCACTTAGTACGTATCATCCGCATGTATATATTAAAGTTCAGGCGGCGAGGACGAAGTGGCGTATATGCAGCACACGGTACGTATGTATACATTCAATTTGTAGATTGAAAGTTTAAGCACACGAGCTATCGTGTGTTGACTTTAAACTTTGCCATAGTGTTGTTTGCCAAACCATTTTAATAAATACGAGTTTATGCTCAAATTTTGCAGACGAAATAAGATGACTTGAGTGCATCCTGACGACGACGTCAATGACGCATGGGTTATGATGATGATGATGCGTATGCAAGCGAGAGACAAACGATACGGGAACAGCAAAAGCTACATACGAAAACCTTCGATTTCGACAAACAACGATACGCAAAAGCCCGTTACCCATTACGTATATTAAAATCTAATACGTTAATGTACGCTGCCAACCGAGCGATCGCGGGTTTCCACAGTAATCCGACAGGGGTATGAGGCGAGGTGATCCCTCAACAGACTGCGAGTGCGTGTGTATAATACAACCACTAATTTGACCAACGAAAATTTATTCATTCGAACATCGTGCGCACACACACGTACAACAAAAGCGACGTCAAATTATTACCCGACAGGCATGATGCGGGGTAAAGGGAAATTATTCATGCGCTGACCGAAACTCCCTCTTCACAGGCGACGGCAGACCTTTGGGATACTATGAATTTTGATCTCTGTTTCATTTCATTTTTTTTTTACTCATGTGCTCATGTGTATCCCCGCCCGTCTATTGGCCTATACCGCTTGATGATGTACATTTGAACTGTGTTAAATCAACCTTTCGGCCGCTTCCGTCATTTGTAGTACAATGGTCATTTAAATTGCAAAACGGCTTTTTAAACTTTTTACTAAAGAATAAAAAAATTGATGTATGAATATAGGGTAATTTATTTTTAAAAAGCGTACATAAAAAAGTATACGCTCCTCTATATATTCATGTATTCAACCATTACACGTTTGAAATTTTAGACAGCAGTCCGAGTGATGTTCACGGATAATAATTATTATTATAACATCAAATATATATCAATACAACCGCGCACACTTTAGTTTACTATACCACACACGTACGTAATTTTAGAGTAGAATTTTTCGAAACGAAACTTTACACGCCTCTTTGACGTCCACCTACAGCACGTCGAGTTTCAAATTAAATCCGAAACTTTAATTGCAAAGTTATAGCAGTAAAACATGTATATATAGTTGTACTCGATAAATGTGTAAGTATGTATAGTGTATACGTCATTAAATCAGCGGAAATCTTAAATTATTTATGCGACTATACATGCAGTTTATCTAGCCGTCAGTATAACGGCAAATCCAGAGCACTTTGGAGGACGTTAATATATTATATATTGTATAAGCGTTAATAAAAACCGTTTACAGAGCCGTTCTCTATAAACCATACAGTAAATCAGCCTATTCGGTACCCGGTAATCCCTTCTTCCTTTTACACACACGCCCCCGCTACCACCATTAATACACGTATAGGAAAAACGGTTTTCTAATCCGGAAAATAAGCAAAAACCGGTCACAAATTACCGATCGTAAATACACACGGAAGAAGGGAAATATTGGAAAGGAAAAAAAGTTTAACTGCGTTTTTATCGGACTGGTCGGTTTTATCGCGTACCGACACACACGCCCAGCAAAAGAACGCTACTGAAAAGAGTATACAGCTTATATAGCATAGTACAATATGAGTAGAGGGTCGGTGAGTAGGAGAAAAGAGTATAAATAAAAATCCCGAAAAACGCATAAAAATCCCGAAAACCGAATCTCGCGTACACGGCGCGCGGTTGCCCACCGTGTAAAGTGGGTAGTTGGGTGACATGTGGGGCAGTGGAGGGAGGGCACTTAAGAGAATGACCCTTTATGGCAATAATATGTGCCATTGTGCAGCGCCGGCCGAATATATATTTAGTTTATGTCTCCTGTCCAGTGCGTATTTTACGGGCTCTACGCCAATGACGTGTGTGGTGTGTTCGTAACTCTCTCTCTCGGTACAAAGCTTTCAATTTCTTCGAAAGCCCTAATCCCGGAAATAGGTCTTGCAGACCGTTTTTCGAAAACGAAAGCGACAAATAACGGCCGTGACTCGAGAGTATAATAAAAATAAAAATCTGAAATATTAAAAATCGTAGCAATGACGATTTTTGCAAAAACCTTAGCCGAAAAAAATACTTCAACCACATATTGTTGTTTTCGTTGTTGGATTAAAATAAACAATATATTTTATTTTATTCTCAAACGGAAAGCGTTCAATTGGAGACAATCAGCGGTGCCGGCGGCAGACGAAGAAGACGAAAACCTTATTATCGGCCGCGTGTCCGCTCTCTCGTCTCGTGAATTTCGGTAGCCGAATCAATTAAACGTTATTAAACGTAATTAATGGACAGCATGCACAATTGATTGCGCGCGGGAAGGAACAA